TCTAAACTACATTTAAAAATCGAGAGATCATTCATAACATGAATCATAACCTTGAATTCATAATTCAAATTCAAGGTAGATTTAAGAGCTAAGTGTTGAGAGTTCTTCCGAGTCATTTTGAGAAGTCTTTACAATCATTTTTTAAAATTGTTTTTAAGACTTGAGTACTTGAGTTTGAGGATGAGGAGAGTTAAGTTTAATTTTTCAAAACGAATATATGAGAACTAAGTATTCTCAAGAGTAAATGTTTTTACATTTAAGATGAGAGGAAACACCGATTTCCAAAAGAGTTCATGAGAAGTTTTGAGAACTATCTCTTTTTAGAGAATTCTTTTGAGTAATAATCTCAAAATTGAGGATGAGGAAATCTTTTTAAAAAAACATATGAGCTAAGTTATATTTTGGGAGTAGTATTGAGCACCGATATGAAGGATAGTTCAAACAACTCACAATCCCCATAAACCATGTAGCCAACGTGGGTAGAAAGGGTCATACTTTTTAGATGGTTCCTTATTTCTTTTTAGCATAACTTAGTGGATCCACTTAGTGAGTAGTTCTATACCCCGACAAAGTATAGGACAATTCTGGCATCGTGGGTGAGACGTTGCATCATCACTTAGCTCATAGTGATGGTTGTTGATTAGAGAATCTTCCAAACAAAGATATTTTGTATATTTAGATACAAACTGAGTTATTATTGTATTTTTGAATACATTGAGTTGTTATCTACTGTTTTAAATGTTTATATAAACTGCATCTTTATTGTTGTTTTTATACTACATGGAGTTGAGTATCCATGAGTTGAGGTTGAGTTGAGTAGAGTCGAGGTAAGTATGTTTCCTTCTTTCCAAGATTCAAGCTTTGATGTTATGTTCAATTTTCCCCTTACATGCTTATATATTCAATGTACTGATGTCATTTGGCCTGCATCGTTTCATGATGCAGATACATGAGATCAGGGTCATCAACAGGCAATTTGTTGATAACAGTTGTAGTTCTAGAGTTGCTTGGTGAGCCTCCATGATTTTGGAGGATCCTTCATTTATGTTATCATTTCAGTTTTGTTATTAGGATGTCGTGGCTCTTGTCCCGACGTCCATCTCAGTTAGTAAAGGCTTCATAGATAGACAATAGTAGTTTATGAGTCTTTTTCATTTTCAGTTGTTAATGTTGAGACTTGAGTTGCCTCTTTTGGCCGGTGAATGTTTTTAAACACTATGAGATATTTCTTTTATAGACTTTGAGTAAAGTTTGCTTTTGAGGCTCTTTTTGTCATGTCCCGAGCCTACACCCTGGACGTGGCTGGCACTCGGAGACCATTGCTGGGCCCAAGCGAACCCTTGGTCTGTCTTTCTGAACTCAGCGGAAGACTTAATCAACAAAATAAGTTTAAGCAATAACTTAGAGAAATAACATCTTCGCCACATTGGCAACTTAAGTCTCATAGCAAAACATTTGCAATACAAAGATGAGAGACTCATAACTAATTGTCTGACTGTCTATGAAGCCTCTATAATACTGAGATGGATGTTGGGACAGACCCCCACAACATCCTAATAAGAAAAACTAGGAAAGCGAATAAAAGAGTCCTCCGGAATGCAAGGAGGCTCACCACTGACTCTGGAGTGCTCGACTAGATCAACGGCGCACTGGATGCTGATCCTGGTTACCTGTGTCTGCATCATAATAAGATGCAGGCCAACTGACATCAGTACATTGAATGTACGAGTATGCGAGTTGATAAGCTAAACAACAACTTAAGCGTGAAAGGAGTAAGAAGGAACACTTACCTTGGTTCTGTACAACTCATGAATAACTGAACTCAATATAAAGCAATAAGACACATGCAATATATATATAAAGCTTGTAAAACAGTGTAAACAACTTAGTTCGTTAAAGATAAAGCAATAACAAACTCAACTTTACTTATATATAAAAGTAATATAACTTTTGTGGGAGATTCTTTAACCGACAACCACCACTATAAGCCTTAGTGATGGTACAACGTTTTACCTCACGTTGCACAAGGACCATCCTATACCTCGCCGTAATATAGGACCTTACTTAACTTAGTGGATCCACTAGCTTAACTTACGTGATCATCTAAAAAGTATGACCCGTTAAATCCCATGTTGGCTACATGGTTCTTATGGAGAGTTGAGTTAATATGAACTCGCATTCCCAATTCGGTGATCGATACTACTCCCAAA